GATTTCAATGAATTAATTCATTTATTTCAAGTTACACCTAATCTTCAATATTTATCAATTGTTTTTACAGATTATACTGATGAATATGATTTATCATTATTTTATGTACCAATAACTCGATTGAAACTTTCATTTGATTGTTCATCAAATATTTTACAATATTTTCTACAAAATCTTTCGAATTTACAACATTTAACATTAGAAACATCTAATATTTATATGAATGGATATGAATGGGAAGATTTTATCTGTAAATATTTATCTAAATTAAAAATTTTTCAATTTAAAATGAGATTTTCTCCACCAAATAATCAAAATAAATTAATTGAATTAAATGAAATACTTGATTCATTTCGAACAAAATTTTGGCTTGATGAACATCAATGGTTTGTTCGATGTCATTGGTATGCATCTGATGAACAATATCATTTAAATTTTATTGATCTTTTTACTTTACCCTATATATTCAAAGAATTTCTTAGTTATACAGGTTGTATTCTAGCAAAATCAACATGTTCGAATGATAATATGCATTGGTCATATAATCAAGTAAATCAATTATGTTATAGATCTTCAAATTTTACAAATACAATTATGTCTCGTATACATTTTTCGAATATTCAACATCTTTCTTTATCACTTCCTTTTAATGATCAGTTTTTATCGATTGTATCAAACCTTGAACGATTAACATCACTCTATGTATCGATAAATAATAATAATAAAACAATTGAAAATATTCAATCACAATTACAATTATTACTTGATCGTGCAATACATTTAAATTCAATAAGTTTTGGTTCATGGCGTTCAACAAGTTTACAAGTATTACTGATGAATATTTTCAGTCAAACAATTCATAAAGTTAATTTTCAAGGATTTATTTGTGATAGAAATAGTCGTTGTTTTGATGATAAACAATGTATTCAATTGATTCATTCATCATTAGGTAAACAATGTAAAATACTTTTAATTAAAGTTAAAACACGAATGAATATAGTTAGTCTTGTAAATGAAATGTCAAATTTACAAGCATTAAATGTTCGATGTGAAGATGATACATGGACAAATGAAGAGAATTTATCATTATCAACATATGATGAACTTATTGAATGGTTACGTCATTGTTTACCATCATCATGTATGATTACAAGAGATACACATGATAATCGTGATATTAGATTATGGATTAAATAGATAATTATAATTTTATTAAATTTAAATGTTTGTTATTAGCAAAGTGTTGGTCGTCATCAAAAAGTTTTATTTTTTAGAATGTGTACATATATAACGTATTTAATAGTACAAGAGAATCTTCAATGATTTAAATAATTAGAAGAGTCAAGTTGGATAATATATTATTTTATGATAGTTTAACTTATAATCAGTATAGATTGAGATAATCAACATCATTTGTTTTGTATATCAATATAACTGAGTTTTATGTTATTGTAAATTAGAGTAGATATTTTGAATTTAGATTTGTACTTTTTATGTGTATATAAGAATATATCTTCTATGTGAATTCGTTAGTTACTTCGAAATAAAATAAAATCTTTGTTGCTTATTTGTGTCTATAACTAGCATTATCTATATATAAAGATCAGATCATATTTATAGATTGTAGTCAAAGTAAAATTTATTATTTCATTTCGATAAAACTCAAAATCAATTCAGTAAGTTTTATTGCAGAATAATAGTAACATTAATTGTATGTAATAGAATGAAAGAAATATGACTCTCGGTTGACACTAGAATAGATAGTCGCCAGACAAAACGCTGCATGGACTTCTTGAGAGTGTGCGATGTAGGATGTGAGTGCGGGTGTACAAGGGAGGGAATGTAACTCATGACTATATTCTACTCTTATCCACCCACCGACACCCACACCCACCCTCGAGATGCGCGATCCCGCACTGGTCAGTTTTCAAACGTGATGGACGCCTTTGCTATTTGTACCTGAATGAAATTAAGGATTAATAACATTCTTTCTATTTTGTCGATATCACTTTATGAATATACGTTTCTTTTCATCCTTGTTGATTTATCATTACAACATACTCTGTAATCGTCTTGAGAATATGTACGTGGTTGGTTTCATTATTTGACTCACACGTTCCCAATCATATACCCACCCTCACATCCACCTTAACAACGCTGGGTCGGGACTCTGTTAGGCTAGTAACTGTAGTTAGAAGGATGTCTTTTATTTCAACAACGAATGACAAAATGAAAATATCAATATGAGTCATACTCCGTTCAAATGTTCAGGTAAAACTGTAGCTACAGTCACGTTAATGACTCGTTCGCGTCGATTTCGAGCGATTCTGTATCCGATATAAGTAATGATGGAAATGATAATGTTGAGTGTAGTCGTCAAGGCTCCATATACTACAAAAAGAGTTGACACGATGTACCAAATGTCGGGTCGACCGAGAATTGAATAAGTGCATGAGATGGGAGCACATGATGAGTAGTATTGATCGTAGGAGATATTCGGTTTCCAACTTTCAATTAGGAGTTGTTCGAGAAGAGATTGAACAGTCTCATTCGAGAAGGAAAGCGCGGGGTCAAGCGGATCGAATACTGTATCGGTTGCGTTTCGATCGAAGAACATATGTTGAAGTTTGTCAATGCATGTCGAATTGTAAAGACACTCAATAGTCGATTGAAGGAGAGATTCAAGCGGATAACAGCCAACCATGAAGCCAGGTACTAACCAACCATCAAGATCAGCCGGCTCACTGCACATAGCATTTGTACCACATGAGCAACTGTCATTACCATATGTTCGTGGCATACCCCATAAAGAGTGTTTATTCAAGTTGACATCAATTGTCGAAAAATACCAATTTGACATGGTTGCTGACATGATTGAATTGCCTTGTGCCATCTGTCGAACAAAGTCGATTGACCAAATAAATGTTTGGGATATCGACGAGCGATACTGATCGAGAATTACATTGGTTTCCTGCTGAACTGTTTTATTAGATTCAGCTCGAATATTGACGATAGTAGTCGATTTTATCAGTTCCACTGTGTTGACGAGTGTTGAATTGGCCAGCGTGCAAAATGAAGAAAGCAAACGAAAGTGAGACAATGCAGATACGGGATATTCATCAGGGAAAAACCAGAGATTGACGTATGGAAAGTAGAGTGCAGGCATCCATTTAGTTCTCGATACAAAATCGCTGTGACAAATTTGATGAAGCCGAGGCGAGATCGACACGAACGAACTGTACAATATTGCTATATTCTTGCATGGACAGTCGAGCGTTGCCGAATATCGAACATCAGATTCAAGTTTCTCGAACGCCGTCCGAGACACGTTGTACTTTGTAACCAGTTCTATTCGAGTTCTGGCCGCAATGTAACTAGTAAAAAGCGCAAGGATCAATACGAGTAGAGCAAGATGGATGCGCGTTGTGATGATTTCTATGCGACGGCGCAGTTCGTCAGTCCAGCTTAGTTCACTTTCAAAGATGTTTAATTCAAGCATAAATTGCTTTAGTCGATTCCACGCACGGCGGCAGTACTCGATCCGTGTTGGGCGATCTAGAAAGAAAGTGATACGAACTTTAATAGTGAATCTCTTGGAGTATAGAAAGCATGGATTTGATTGCATACCTTCGCTATACTAACATTCTCACTCTCACACTCCCTGAATAATTTCTTTTTATTCACGACTTTAAAGCTCACTGTTAAACTTACCTAAGTCCCTATCAGTGTTCACTTTTGGTCGCATTCGTTCTCGTACGAAGTTGACGACGAATGGGACGACAAATTTGAGCACAGCCGTCAATCCACCAAGGATGCTCACCACTGTTGTCAAAATGTACAGCACACTATTTCTGGATCTGACCGTATACGAACAAAGTTTCGGCGCGCATTCTTTATAGTATCTATCATAGTCAATATTTTCATTCCAATGTTCGAGCATAAGTTCATCAACAATTGCGCCGATCGTCGTTTCAGGCGAAAATCGACTATCATTTGCCTCAAGAATTGACACATTGATCGAGCGGTTAGATTGAATTTCATTCTGAATAATGTCCAAACAACTTTGATTGAAAAAACATTCCAATGTTGATTGAAGCGTACTTTGAATGATAAAGCAACCCGAGTAAAAGTTCGGTACTACAAACTTTAGATCGGTAATAAAGTCTTCTTCAGTAACATTCACCATATCAACGAAGACAATTTCTAATAGGCAGTCGCCTTCGATTTCACAGCGGCACGTGTTCACTTGCACCGGTATCGTGCTGAACTCGATTATTGGGCCCCCGTCCATAAACGGACGTTCGAACAATTTGACATTGGTTTGGTACGTTGAAAGCATCTCGTTCATATGTGCTTGAATCAATGAGAAATCGCGTTTGAATTCGGCGTTAGTGTTCGATTTGAATTGATTGAATGCCGAGTGTGCGCGCGCAAGCAGTTCGTCGATAAACATTGTCTTATCGGTGATCAAATTTGATCGATTGAAAGCATGCCAAGACTCTGATACAGTTGACCAAGAGGCCGAACATATAGTCGCCACTGCGCGAAAGACAAGGTTGCCTACCTTGCGAAAATCTCGCGAAAGGCGGCTCTCGGACGCATTATTTTTATTTTCTGGACCTTCGGTTGATTCAATCCACGCATTGGTAACAAGTAAGCTCGAACACACAGGATGTTGTTTAGGAGACATAGAAACGAATGACTCGTACGTTACGGCAATTTGGCCACATGGGCAATTAAGCGTAGACGAATACTTGCCATACAAACCTTCAAATATCGCCCTGGATGGATTTTTAATGGTAATAATTTGAATTTGACCTCGGATTACTGTGTAAATTGTGACAACAACGAATGAAACACATATAAGAGCGAGATAGACTCTCGTGGCAATCAATGATGTTTGAAGCTTGTATGGATCGGTTAGAGTAGCAGCAGTCTTGAATAGATTGAGTTCAACTAGCTTGACTCGTATCCAATGCCAGGCTCGTCGAAGTCGTTCGACTAGTGATCCACCTTGAAGAAGAAAATGAGAGAGAATAGAGTAGTCAAAATATTCTTACGTGCACGAGCCGTCTGTGTTGAAACTAATCGACGAGAGCGCCACCAGTTGATCACTAATGGTATACAAAGACAAAGCACGAACGTAATACCACTGTATGCACTCAAAACTGTGGTTAAAATATCAAAAGCACTGTTCCGTTTTGAACCGGTGTATGTACATACGATAGGAGCACATTGTTGAAAATAATCTGAAAATGAACTTTCGTTTTTCCAGTCTTCGATAAATAATTCATCGATTAATGTGTCGATCGATGTCTGAGGTGAAAATCGTGATTTATTTAGTATTTTATTATACTGATCAATGGGAAATCCGAGTAATGCCCAGTACCTAAGCACGCTCTCCAAGCATCCTTGATCGTAGAAACACTCAAGTGTCGACTGAAGAAGTGCCTCGGCTGCATAGCAGCCAACTACGAATCCGGTCACATTGACAAACGCAGGATTGAGTAAATTAAACTCTCCTTTATTTTCAACGGTATCTAGGTCGAAAAAACCAGATGGCAAAGAACAATTCGCTTGTGTCACACAAGAGCATTTTTGGCCATCTAGTTTATAATAAAAACCACCAATGGAGTGAACTAATTTACTATCAGTCCGTTCATCAATAATATTGGTCACGGTGGTTTGTAATGCGGGTTGAAGCATATTACTTTTAGTGGTATTACGTACGAGACCAAGAAGCCGACGAAAAGCGATCGTCGTCATTAGCTTCATAGATGATATTTGCGCTTGACTGTCTGAATCGAAAGTATGCCGATTGAGTACATGAGTTGAAAGGAGAGTTTTTGCGCGAAAATTTTCGATTGCACTCTCTGCCGATCGATTGGCAAGCGCACAGAAGGAGGCAAGCAGCTGAAAATGGCCACTGGCCGCTGAACGAAAATCGATTTGAAAGTAATAACTAATGTTTGGAATAAATAAAAGATTGATCCATTCATCGGTTACATGCCAACTTGAACACACCGAATGATACTCGGGCGAGATTGAAGCGAAAGAGCCGTATGGAATGGATACGTTACTGCAAGGACATGAGAGCGTAGTCGAATACTTGTCGAACAACTTATCATAGTCCAGAATAGATGGGTCTCGAATCGTTGACGGTTCTGTGTGTGTTGCTAATGAAGTATATGCAATAAGAGCAGTAATAGAAATCATTAAGACGACAAGATATACGCGCGTCGAGATCAGAGCAGTGCGTAAATGAAAAGGATCAGATCGAGAGGCAGCACTTTCGAAAAGATTCAATGCCGTAGCCTGCGCTTTGATCCATCGCCCAGCGGCTAACATAATCCGAATTTGTTGCTTCAGAATTATTCGAAGAACGAACGTGACAGCTCAGACTTTGGAGGGTAATCAAACATAGAATCAGGAATTCCGTTTGTGAACAAAATGAACTATAACAAATAATTATAAACAGATTTGTTTGAGTAAATGTAATTTGATAGATGAGTGCCATATGCAAACAGAATGGAAATGCATGATGAAAAGGTATGCTTACGAATAAATGAAATTTTATTGAGACACGCAACACATTGGACCGCAAGTATACTCATCATTTTCATGGCTTTCAGATATATCTTTTCAATTCATCGTGCTATAACATGTCAGAGAATAGTCACTAGTATGAAGTTAGTACTCAAAGTAAGATACAAAATCACAACTTAGACAAAGTTCTTCTTTCTTTCTGTTTTTTCAAGGACTAGGCTTCTTTAGTTTCAATCTAAAGTCTTCTTGGATTTTTTGGTCAGGATTTAGGGA